CCCTAAACCCAAGCGACGATTTACAAAAGCAGTCCAGAAAAAGAAACGCCCTCGTCTGATTTTGACAGCGTTTTCGGATTTCACCACATTCTCCCCCTGTTATGAAGTCGTTTACTTGATTTATTTACTTTATTTATTATTTGGATTCTGTATTTGTCTTACCTGATTTCTGTAACCGCTCTTCCCCGCACTTGACCTCGGTCGTTGCCGTCGTCGGCTCTCCGCTCCACCGGCGTACATGATGAGCTAATTGGACAAAGTGGTTGCGGCAGGAAAGCCCTCCACGTGGAGGTGAGCTGTCAGCTGACGAGCACAAAGAGCAGCGGCGTCACACCGTCCTATAGCGTTCGCTTAAAAAAAAAATTAAATGCAGCCATACATACCTCCGGCCATGTAAATCGCCGTCACCAGAAACGTCCGCTGGGCTACGTTTCTAGAATGAGCTTGGGTTGGAAGTGATGGATTAGGGATGGGCGATTTGGCGTAAAATCGAAATCTCGATTGACTGAATATTTTAATTCGATTATGATTAATGAATGATTTTATATAGATAGATAGATAGATAGATAGATAGATAGATAGATAGATAGATAGATAGATAGATAGATAGATAGATAGATAGATAGATAGATAGATAGATAGATAGATAGATAGATAGATAGATAGAAGCAGTTTATAGATAGATAGATAGATAGATAGATAGATAGATAGATAGATAGATAGATAGATAGATAAAAACAGTAGATAGATAGATAGATAGATAGATAGATAGATAGATAGATAGATAGATAGATAGATAGATAGATAGATAGATAGATAGATAGATAGATAGATTTTTTTGCCCTATTAGTTCACTGACAGGTTTTATACAGTATATATGCTCACATATTACAGGTAAGAGATTTTTAAATGAAGCGTGCGTTACTTGATTTTAAAATAATTAAAGAAAACACACACTATCTACCATCTAGGATTAGTTACTTCAAGGTTGAACAACTGAAATCAAAACACACATTGCCTAAAACAATCAGTCACTCTTTCTTGTAAACAAATAATAAAAAATAAATAACTTGAACTTTTAAAAACAAAATTAATTATTATTATTGTGTTTTTCATATTAAACGTAGAAAATAAGCTGTATCTCTTCTAAATAAAATAACTCCTGCATATCCTCTTTGGAGTGAACGCCAGGCGTTATGTTCAGAGGAAAGCAGGCAGCACTCATCACCAGGCTAACAGCATCCCTACAGTGAAGCATGGTGGTGTTGGCATCATGCTGTGGGGATGTTGTTCAGCAGCAGGAACTGGAAGACTAGTCAGGATAGAGGGAAAGATGAATTCAGCAATGTACAGAGACATCCTGAATGAAGACCTGCACAAGAGTGCTCTTGACCTCAGGCTGGAGCGACACTTCATCTTCCAGCAGGACAATAACCCAAAGCACACCTCCAAAATATCAATGGAGCAGCTTCACAATGACTCAGTGAATGTCTTTGAGTGGCCCAGCCAGAGCCCAGACCTAAATCCTATTGAACATCTCTGGAGAGATCTGAAAATGGCTGTACACCGTCCAACCTGATAGAACAATGTCAAAAACTCTCACATTGTCATTATGGGGGATTGTGTGTAGAATGTTGAGGAAATCAATCAATTTAATCCATTTTGAAATAAGGCTGTAACATGAACAAATGTGGAAAAGTGCTATGAATACTTTCCGGATGCACTGTAATCACCGAAATCTGACTTTCCGAACACACACACACACACAAACACACACACACACACACGCACACGCCATAATCAATTCCAGACTCTCACAGCGGTTTGTATATATTACGAATGTTTATTCCAAAATTAGTACTCGATACAGAAATAATAATTTCATCATCATATGGATTTACTAGACAATCAGAACTTCAAAGTCATGCTTTCTCTGATTAATCACTGATCCCCCCCCCCTCCCCAAAAATTACAATTAAGTTTCTTCTTCACACATGAGTGCAAAGAGAGTATACACTAGAAAGCAATACAACCGACACAAAATATAGAACAATTCATATCTGAAGGCATCGCACAAGAATTCAGTGAGAGATTAAGGCCATTTGTACAGTTATTTTCCTGTTCGTTATGTTTTTTTTTCTTCATCATCATCATCATCATCATCATCAAAACACTCAGAATAACAAAAGAGCTATAGTGAATCTCCTGTAAAACTGTACATGCAAACATAGTGCACGTTATATTTAGATATGAAGAGCATACAATATATATTTATATTTGGATATCTTCAGTAAACAAATTTCATGTGAGTTAAGTCACAAACCATACACACATGCGCGCGCTCACACACACATTCACACTCACACACACAGGTGAATGGACTTGCCAAAATGGCATTTGCCGTGGCACCAGCGATGCAGAGAGGAACAGATCTGAGGGTGAGTGAGAAATGTGGAGAGCCAACATTCCCCGAAGAGAGATACTATCATCAGCCGAGCCTCCAGGTCAAGTGCTGCGTTTTCAAACATAACAGCTTTCTTCAACACACACACACACACTGAGCAGTTCATGCTAACCAACGTGCTTGAGAATAGGTTTGTAGACATAAAATTGTGCCATAAATCCATGCTGAACTAAAAGCAGTCTTGTTTATTGACGTAATCCACAACACATAGATTTGACCTCAATATAGTTTACTGTATATCGCCCGTACAAAAAAACAATATCAGCTATGTATTAGATTCTGAAATGTGCTATATAAATAAACTTCGGTTGCCTAGGATGAGGTTGAAAATGTGTACTGTTGGTGTGTCTTCGGGGACAGGTTTGCTCGAGAATTGGTTCCATAATAATGAAATCAGATGTTCTAGTTCTATCGTTTTTGAAACTATACGTAAAAATCTTCACACATTTGTTGGGTAAACTTGTCTAAATGTTTATTAATGTGCCGTGAAGGTTGTATGTGTGATAAGGCAGCACGACTGGAAACAAGAACTCCAAAACCACCCAGAATGTTCCCCTTGATGAGGCTGTTACCCAAAATAGTTCACAACACAAGTGTGTGAGGAAATAAATGAGTTGCTACATAGTAGAAGATTTGACGTTTCAGAACAAAAACATGTCGTCATGGTATTTCACAATGGCACTAATTATGAAAAACAGAAGTGAAATGAATGGTGATGAACCAGGAATCAGTATGATTCAATTCATCATCCGTTTGCCAGACGCAAAACACCGCAGACAGGTACTAGTGTCTGCGCTGTTCCAATTCTGTCACTATTTGGGTAAGGAAATAGAAAAAAATATAGTTTTGAAGACTTTTTTTCCAAATACTAGCAGCACATTTCTAAAATAATGGGAATCAAAACTATTACTAAGAAACAATATAGGCGACCCTGGATCGTAAAAACAGTCGTAAGTTCCACATTTCTGGAAATATATTGAATAAAAGCTGAATAGAGATGCTTTCTGTTAGGATAGGGTCATGTTTGGTTGAGCTACAACACAATTCTAAAATCTGAGGCTTCAACAGAATCACTTTAAAAGTTGCTTAAACTCTATTTCCGCGAATATTCCTGAAGATTTGATAGATTTACAGACAGAAATGTACAGAATGTCTTCAAGGAGCATGATCTTTACTTGTTACTCTAATGATTTTGGCACACAATTAAAATTTTTTGACTCATTTTCCTTCGGCTTAGTCTATTTCAGAGATCACGACAGTGGAATGAACCGCCAACTATTCCAGCATATGTGTTACGCAGTGGATGCCCTTCCAGCAGCAACCCAGTTCTGGGAAACACCCATGCTCTCACATTCACTCCTACACTGTAAAACCCAACAGTCGACTTCATCAAATGAAATGAGTGTAGACAACTCAAAATTGACAAAAAGTTAAAAAAAGAGTTTTGAACTCTAATTGAACACCTCATTACTTCAACTTCAATGGAGAAGGTACTCTTATAGATTAGTTTTTGTAACTCAAATGGTTTGTAGCGATCGGTTTCCTCAAGCAGTTTGAGTTGACTTAACTTGAGTACTCAAACTACTTTGTTTACATAAGTGGATTAAGTTCACAGTACTCATTGGGATAAGTTTTTGAACTTAAATGGTTTGTTTCAATCGGTTTCCTCAAATGGTTTGAGTTGACTTAACTAATGGGTTTTGCAATACTCAATTGGCTTGAGTTCTCTTCATTTATTGTGTTTTACAGTACTCAGTTGGTTTGAGTTGACTTAACTTATTGGGTTTTACATACTCAGTTGGTTTGAGTTGACTTAACTTATTGGGTTTTACAGTACTCAGTTGGTTTGAGTTGACTTAACTTATTGGGTTTTACAGTACTCAGTTGGTTTGAGTTGACTTAACTTATTGTGTTTTACAGTACTCAGTTGGTTTGAGTTGACTTAATTTATTGGGTTTTACAGTACTCAGTTGATTTGAGTTGACTTAACTTATTGGGTTTTACAGTACTCAGTTGATTTGAGTTGACTTAACTTATTGGGTTTTACAGTACTCAGTTGGTTTGAGTTGACTTAATTTATTGGGTTTTACAGTACTCAGTTGGTTTGAGTTGACTTTATTTATTGGGTTTTACAGTACTCAGTTGGTTTGAGTTGACTTAACTATTGGGTTTTACAGTACTCAGTTGGTTTGAGTTGACTTAACTATTGGGTTTTACAGTACTCAGTTGGTTTGAGTTGACTTAACGTATTGGGTTTTACAGTACTCAGTTGGTTTGAGTTGACTTTATTTATTGGGTTTTACAGTACTCAGTTGGTTTGAGTTCTCTTTATTTATTGGTTTACTCAAGTGGATTAAGCTCACAGTACTCATTAGGATTAGTTTTTGAACTTAAATAGTTTGTTGCGATCGGTTTCCTCAAATGGTTTGAGTTACCTTAACTTATTAGGTTTTACAGTGTGCACTACGGCCAATTTAGTTAATCAATTCCCCTATAGTGTATGTGTTTGGACTGTGAGTGGAACTGGAGCACCCAGAGGAAACCCACACAAACACAGGCATAACTCCACACAGAAACACCAAACGGACTCAAACCAGCAACCTTCTTGCTTCTATCTGTGACTCTATCTGTGTCTGTGTTCTATCTGTGTGTCTCGAGACTGATTTTGTGATCCAGGGTCACACATATAACTTATCATAATTCAACACTGTTCACAGCGAAATCCAAGACGGAGGATTTCGTTTGTGCTTTTTTTGACACTATCTTTGGGCAACTCTACCTGGTAATGATTAAATATGATGAATGGCACACACAGCATCAACGAAACGACGGCAAAGCATCCACTCGATGTTTTAAGACATGAAATAATAATGGCATCTGTGTTTTTGACCGCTGGGCTCTTATTTGAGAGCAGCTGCTCTAATTTAAATGTAATGAAGCACGTCGAGTTCCATGAGGTTTTTTTCTGTTTGTACACAATGAAGCGCCCAGTGTGCCAGGGCAAAACAATAACGATAATAATCATAATAATAAAAAAAAGGAGAGAGAAAGAGAAAGTGAGTGAAAGCACAAGAGAAGGCCAAAAAACATGAACATCGCACAACATGCATCGCATGCCTGGGCACACCATTTCCATGCAAGAAATGTGGTTTTCTGCAACGACACCGGCCGCTGCCACCTGACGGGCATGGCAAAGATAACACGATGCGAGGATTCGTACGGCAAAGTTCATGTCGAAGAAACACGCTCGTAAAAAAGTTGGCTCCACCAGTAAGAAAATCCATAACATGTAAACATTGAGTGAGAGCTCAGAGAAGAAAGAGGAGGAAGAGATAAGAAACGACGGAAGAGAGTTATTTACAACAGTCTTGTTGGCGACTGGTGATTTGTTGGCCTTTTCCCTGTCTGAGGAAGAGGAAGCTGCTCTGAGTTCTGACACCGGGCGCAACGTCGTCACTTTTTCCTTGCCTTCATGAACACCTCCTAAATGCGACGGTCATTCAGTAACGCGGCCCTCAGACACAAGCGTTGAGAGACAGAGAGAGAGAAACCGAGAGACATCCTGACAGAGAACGCCCGTGATGGAAGTAAACCTGTCCTCAGAATCCTGCCAAACCGTGGTGTCCGACTACAGCCCCCGTAGTGCAAAGAGAAAAGGGACAGAAAGAGCTGAGGAAACCTTCACCTCGCTGAGCGACTTGAGAAAGAGATACTGGTGTGCTGCAAGGCTCGCCGCCGGGCCCCGTTTCAGATCTGAGTTTGCAGCGGGTGTCCTGGAGGGGTGTACGGAGGAGGAGCAGGGGACGGCTTGATGCCTCTGGTTCTCATGTAGGATAGGAACTGGTCTGGGATCTCAGCCAGAACGTCTTTGGCCAGACGGGCCATGCTGAGGATGTGATTTCCGGTGCGATCGATGTAGTCCCTGAATGGAACGAACTGCAACACAAAGGAAAACAGAATGAAATCACACAGACTGATACCTCTGCAGAACAATACACAGATCTAAACGTGCTTAACAAATATAGCTCTTATTTAATTGAGAATACAAAATAGTGACATAGTTATCTTAATACATTCTGTAAAGAGGTACATGATGTTTCTACAGTAAGCCTCGGAACAACATTAGGGTACGGGAATAAATATTTTAAAGTGGTAGTTCACTCAAAAACGATTCTCCCTATTATGATGGTATAATCCCCTGACACCTTCATTGATATTCTGAACACAAATTAAGTTATCTTAGATTAAACCCGAGAGCTCCCTCATCCTCCATAGAAGGCTGAAGACACATGGGATGTTTTGACTTATGTTTTCGGTCCCTGATCTGCTCTTTGAGCGTCTCTGAACTGTTGCTGTCTATTTTATTTAATATATCTTCATTTGTGTTCTGAAGACGACCAAAGGACTAAAGGATGTTTTGACATATGGTCGAACGACATATTGTCGAGATCCGAGATCCTGTTTTGAAACACTGCACCAAAGCATAATTCGAAACACGCAGGTCACGTGACTAAAGTGATTTGAAACACACAGGACACTTGACTGAAGTGATTTAAAACACTCATGTCACATGACTAAGGTGATTAGAAAAACCCAGGTCACTTGAATAAGGTCATCCGAAACACCCAGGTCATGTGACTAGGGGGATTCGAAACACCCAGGTCACATGACTAAGGTGATTCGAAACAACCAAGTCACATGACTAAGGTGATTAAAAACAACAAGGTCACATGACTAAAGTGATTTAACACACTTAGATCACAGGACTAAGGCTGCGTCCGAAACCGCATACTTCCATACTGTATAGTACGCTAAAATCAGTATGCGAGCCGAGTAGTATGTCCAAATTCATAGAATTCGAAAATCAGTATGCGAGAAGTACCCGGATGACTTACTACTTCCGGCGAGTTTCTGAAGGTGGCATCCAATGCACGCTGCGCTATCCCATAATGCCCCGTGAGAGAATTCATAAATGAAAGTGAGGCGACGCAATTGACGCAGGTAGGTCCCGTGACCATGACAAAATGGCGGATGTAGTACGTCTGAATTCCATACATACTTTTCGCATTCATACTGTATAGAACGCACTTTTCTAACGGCCGAGTAGTACGTTTAAATTCAAATGCAGTACCTAGTGAGTAGTAGGTGGTTTCGGACGCAGCCTAAGTAATTTCAAACACCCAGATCACGTGACTAAGGTGATTGGAAACACCCAGGTCACGTGACTAAGTGATTCGATACACCCAGGTCATGACTAAGGTCATTTGAAACACCCGGGTCATGTGACTAAAGGGATTCGAAACACCCAGGTCACATGACAAAGTGATTCGAAACACCCAGGTCACATGACTAAAGTGATTTGAAATGCCTAGGTCATGTGACTAAGGTGGCTGGAAAGAATCAGGTCAAGTGACTAAGGTGATTTGATACACTCAGGTCACGTGAATAAGATCATTCGAAACACCCCGGTCATATGACTTAAGTGATTCAAAACACCCAGTTCACGTGACTAAAGGGATTCGAAACAACCAAGTCACATGACTAAGGTGATTCGAAACAACCAAGTCACATGACTAAGGTGATTAAAAACAACAAGGTCACCTGACTAAAGTGATTCAACACACCCAGATCACGGGACTAAGGCTGCGTCCGAAACCGCATACTTCCATACTATATAGTACGCTAAAATCAGTATGCGAGCCGAGTAGTATGTCCGAATATATAGAATTCGAAAATCAGTATGCGAGAAGTACCCGGATGACTTACTAATTCCGGCGAGATTCTGGAGTGCGCATCCCATGCACGCTGCGCTATGCCATAATGCCCCGTGAGAGAATTCATGAATGGAAGTGAGGCGACGCAATTGACGCAGGTAGGTCCCGGGACCATGACAAAATGGCGGATGTAGTACGTCCGAATTCCATTCATACTTTCACATTCATACTGTATAGAAAGTACTTTTCTAACGGCCGAGTAGTACGTTTAAATTCCAATGCAGTACCTAGTGAGTAGTAGGCTGTTTCGGACGCAGCCTAAGTAATTCCAAACACCCAGGTCACGTGACTAAGGTGATTGGAAACACCCAGGTCACGTGACTAAGGTGATTGGAAACACCCAGGTCACGTGACTAAGTGATTCGATACACCCAGGTCACATGACAAAGGTCATTTGAAACACCCGGGTCACGTGACTAAAGAGATTCGAAACACCCAGGTCACATGACAAAGTTATTCGAAACACCCAGGTCACATGACTAAAGTGATTTGAAATACCTAGGTCATGTGACTAAGGTGATTGGAAAGAATCATGTCAAGTGACTAAGGTGATTTGATACACTCAGGTCACGTGAATAAGGTCCTTCGATACACCTCGGTCACGTGACTTAAGTGATTCAAAACACCCAGTTCACATGACTAAAGGGATTCGAAACACCCAAGTCACATGACTAAAGGGATTCGAAACACCCAAGTCACATGACTAAAGGGATTCGAAACACCCAAGTCACATGACTAAGGTGATTCGAAACACACAGGTCCTGTGAGTAAGCGATTCAAAGCATCTGTTATTTCAGAAGCGTTTCTGTGGCGAGGGGTCGTGGGCGCACCGGCCTCGAATCCCACCGAGGGAGCTCTGGACTATAAGAGGAGGAACGATGGCAGAGGAAGCCGAGAGAGGACCGGGCCGAGACATATTGTTTTACTTTTGCTTTCAGTTTGACGGCAGTCTCTGTGAGGAGTTGCCGTCCATTTCTTTTGGTTTAGACGGCAGTCTCTGTGAGGAACTGCCGTCCCAGTTATTAATAAATATTTTAAAACTGCATCGGTTCTTCATCTCCTTCTTCCTGGCGGCCAAAGAGCCGTAAACTTCATTACAGTTTCGAGACCTGGCACTTCACATGTCTTGTTGGCGTGGGTTTTCTACGGGTGCTCCACAGTCCAAACACATGTGCTATATAATTGAATAAACTAAATTGGCCGTAGTGTATGAGAGTGCATAAATGAATGTGAATGGGTATTTCCCAGTACTGGGTTGCAGCTGGAAGGGCATCAGCTGCATAAAACATATACTGGAACAGTTGGCGGTTCATTCCGTTGTGGTGACCCCTGATAAATAAAGGGAGTAAGCCGATTTCAGATACAGTCTTTGTTTTGGTGGTGTACAGAGAAGCACGCCAAATTTGCATAACGTTACAAAATCCTATTTCATTTCCACGTAGCGTAGATTTTATGTTCTATACACACTCGTCATGTTTGCTTTCCTCAGGTGAAAATAACCTGAAACAGGTCCCGCATTCATCTGCATCTCAGTGAGAATTTGCGACGCTAAAAAGAGCAATTAGCCTGAAACGAGGGCACAGCCATCAGATGCTCAGCATGCCAATCAACCCAAACGCCTTTGAGCTAGAGGGCCAAATTACCCTAAGAGAAGACACGGCTGCCTCTGAGAGCACTACACAGCCGTTTAGTTCAGAAAAACTGGGCTTTTAAGCGCGTGCTGGCCGACGGGAAGCCAGATCCAGTGGAATGTGTGTGTGCGTATGTGAAGGAATGGCTAATTGGACAAGCCTCCCTAGCCACCTATGATAGCCGATCATGCACACTGCCTGTTAACATGCTTCCTAACAAGCGTCGGGTGACCCGGGGACATAATGATGACAGTAGAGCTATAAGAAGAGGAGGAGGAGCACAGGAAAACACTACGAAATTAGATTTCGAGAGGCTGAGAGAGAGCGGTTAGGTCAGAATGCCAGTGCAATGGAGATGAATGACTCGAGAAGTTGTCAGATCACTATTGCTTTCACATAAGATGACTGTGGAATCCTGTGGTAGAATTGATCCGGTTGCTGGTGTGTTCACATTGCATGATGGGTCGATTCCACAATCAAATGACGAGAAGACAGAAGAAAAGAAGTCCTCCACAAATGTCCCTGTATGTTGCTCTTTCATTGACTGTAGATCCTCTAGTGCTGTTTAACAATGAATCATGATGACCTACGGCTTAATCTCAAACAAAGTTTGCTTTTTGTTTTTGCTTGAGTTATTAAAGCTATTATGATTAGAAATGTGTTGAACAAATCTTCTCTTCGTTAAACAGTTGCTGCAGGCAATGCCGTTGTGTAAATCCATGAATAAACGTTCCGAATTAAATAAAGGTTTCTCATTAATTAGCAATTATTTCGTCAGTAATAGTAAGCTGTAGATTCCACAGAAAACTGTATATAGTTAAAATGTTTTCATTTATATTATTTATATATGATTGTGTTATTTATAATTTAAATATGAATAAACATTTTCTATGGGTGTTTTCACCTGCCGGTTACTCGCTGTCGGGAAAGGCCGAAGTTACATAAGTTAAATTGGTTTAAAATAGATTAATAAGTAAAATAAATTAAAATGCTCTAATAAACATTCCATTAAGGTAAATGATTAAATAATAAAAAGATTATTAAAATAAATAACTCAAAATATTTAATGATTTGTGCAATGGAAAAACTTTAAGCTCAATAGTGTATTATATAAACATACATACAGGCAACAAACTCAACGTACAATATTTAAAGGGACATTTGAAACATGAAATAGAGACATGAGACAACTTTTAATAAGGAAAAGAATCAATGTAATATAAATAAAAAGGAAAATTGATTTAAAATAAATACATACTGAAAAAAAAGATTTACAATAACTAAGTTTAATTACAATTACAATTCGGCAACGCAGTGGCGCAGTGGGTAGCACGTTCGCCTCACAGCAAGAAGGTCACTGGGTTGCTGGTTCGAGCCTCGGCTCAGTTGGCGTTTCTGTGTGGAGTTTGCATGTTCTCCCTGCATTCGCGTGGGTTTCCTCCGGGTGCTCCGGTAGGCTAAATTGTCTGTAGTGTATGAGTGTGTGTGTGAATGTTTCCCAGAGATGGGTTGCGGCTGGAAGGGCATCCGCTGCGTAAAAACTTGCTGGATAAGTTGGCGGTTCATTCCGCTGTGGCGACCCCAAATTAATAAAGGGACTAAGCCAACAAGAAAATGAATGAATGAATAATTACAATTTATTTATAAACATCTGAATAAGGTAAATAATTAAATAATAAAAAAAATATTTCAAAAACGTCAACCAAAATAAATAACAAAAAAATTAGCTTTTACCGATATATAATACCGATGAGTTTGACAGTGTATTGCCCCCCCCCAAAAATAATCGAAATATACAATATTTAATGAGACGTTTTTTTAAGTGTCAACATGAAACTACAGACGTGAGACAAATTTTAATAATGAAAATATAAATAAAAAGTAAAAAAATGTTTAAAACAAATAAACAAATAAATAAATAAATAAATAAACAAACATTCAAAAATTAACTTATAAGATTATTAAAATTACAATTTAATAATAAATATTTCATTAAGGTGAAGAAATTCATGTATTTTTCAGTCAATACATTTTTCACACAACATATTTTGCAAAACCTCTTGGTGAGTAAAACTCATGAACTCAAGAACGACCCACACTTTTCCAAAATTGCAAGGTGGAGGTTTAGTTATATATAAAGTTGTTGTAATCGCTGGTGCCACGGCACTTTTGTAGATATCTGAAGTACCTAATTTTACCATACATATACCCATTGTATATACAAGTTATGTACAGTCTATAACCAATTACATAAACAGACAGAAAATGTTTTTTTTTTTTGTTAATTAATGAAATTACATCATGCAAATGTTTATTCAAATTAGTAAACACAAACAAAAAAAAGAAAATTTAATTGACTTATTTCCTGAAAATTGAAGCAGAATGTAAGATTTAGCAGGTGGAGACGGACAAAAATAGGTATAGTGGCATATTTTCAAGTCTAAATGTCTCTAAATCCACATACAAACATACTTTTAATAATGCATTTAATAATAATTTAATAAAATAACAGGTTTATCTTATACCAATTATTCTAGAATCCCCCATAAGCACATGAAACTTGTGTGTGATCATACCTGTACGATGTCTCGTTCAGCATATCTGCCCCTCGATGAGATTCTGACCTCATCCCCATCCAACTCAATCATGGCTGAGGAAACACATGTGAAAGATAAGAGGTGTGCATGATTTAGTGTTTTGAGTGTTTTGGTCAGGTTGCGTTACTGCTAAACGCATTTGCGTTCCTGTCAGAGCAATGAGGGAAACGGCTGTCACATTACATGCTCATTTCATCTGCAGCAGCACTAAATCACATCGTCCGCTCCAGCTCGAGATCAGACAGAGCATCTAGGGTGCTAGAAGATGTACGACATACATAAACGGAGTAAAACCTAAAGACAATCCTGCTTTAGAGTCTACGTTAACTAAAAAAAGTCATATGTTCTTACCATCAAACTCCGCTGGTCCAACTCCAACGATGATAATTGACATGGGAAGAGATGCAGCCTGGAATACAATAAGCAATTAACATTCAATAAACACATCATTTCAGGATTTATTGTGTCACTGAGAGTGATTAATAACCTAATTTCAATTATTCAGTGAACTAACCCTTTATCAATAGCTGCGTTTCCATCCTAAGATGTGTATTAAACTGGAATATCAACTAAAATACTCCAGAATAAAGCATTGCTTACATCTAATGAGTCAATGAAAACAAAATCATCACTTCTTGCAGTCAGAAAAGCCACTGTAAGCCATTTTTTTTATATACTAAAGAACTTGCACCTGGGTTAACAACATTAGGTTATTAATTATTATGCAATAATGCAAATAAATCCCAATTCCAACTCTACCCCTGAGCTGTTACACTTCCCAATACTCCATTACTTGGAAGTGTACAGGCAAAGGGAAGAGCCATACTGCCCTTCAAACAAAGATTTTTCGGGATCACACTACCAACAAAGACGTATTCCCCTGACTACAGCAGCAAAAGCCAGCAAGGAAACCCACAAATGTAAAACAATGGGCGCTGATAAGGATTTTACTACAAACAAGCACCTGATTTATTACATTCATAACAACGTTAATGTGTTACGGTCAAAATCTGATCTGTTGTATAAAAGTGAAGAGCTTTGTTCTGTGAAAACAACCATCCTGCATCTACTTTATCCCGCTTATTACACGGCTACTTAGTAAAAAACTGACATAAACATGCTTTATTTAAACGTAAAGTTGGCAGAAATGTAAACATGTGAATGGAGTATACACTAACCTGCGCATTATTCAGTCTCTAGATAAAAAAAAAAAAAAAAAAATCAAAGCTGACAGAAACAAACTTTTCTGAATGGAGCACACTCTACCTGACAAAAGATTTGTCGCCTTTAGTTTTAGGAAGAGCAAATAATAACTTGACTTCTAGTTGATCATTTAATATCAGAAGTGGCGTATATGAAAGGAAAAGGCCTCTAGATTACGCTTGTTAGAGCTGTTGATGTTGAATTGAATTGAATTGATTTTTATTTGACAGATTTTAGACAAACTGTACAAAAAGTATTCCATACACTTTGTTAAAAAAAAACTGTCGAGGATAAAAACACAATAAAGCCCTGGGCTTATTTCCATTGTGGTCCTCTGTTAAATAAAAACAATGTATGGCTTCAAAATACTAATGAAGAATAAAACAAAGAGTCGCCACAGCGGTACGAACAGCCAACCTATCCAGCACAATGTCCCTCCAGCCGCCAACCTATTCACACTCAAGTAACATATAATTTAAAAGATCCTCGTCCACCATGCAAACTAATTATCCTCACCAAACAACCATCTTTTAATAGCTTTTTTGAACAACCTTAAATCTTTTATTTCCTTGATTGCTTTTGGTAGTTTGTTCCACATGATTGCACTTGTATATAAAAACATATTTTCCCCCACTAAACTTCTAAATTTAAATAAACAAATATTAAAATCCCAACTCCTAGTACTGTATGAATGCTGTTGCCTCACCATTTGAAAATAGTTCATCAAATAGTTAGGAACCACATTATTAAACATTTTACGTACCATTCCCAGTTTTAAAAAACACACTCTATTACTAACAGTTAACATACCTCATTTATTAAAAGACTCTTTGTGCAAATGTGCTCTAGGATGCATTTTTAAAATTATTCGTACTAATTTATTTTGTGCCTTTTGCAATTTCTCCTCTCTCATGTCTTCGTTGCCATCCACTCTCGCCCGCTCCTATACTGAATGGATCCCTAAACCATGATGTCTCCTTCACCAAACTTGACTGATTTCTCTAAGAATCTTGGTCCATGTGGGTTCCAGTAGGTCTTCTGCAGTATTTGTGATGATTGGGATGCAGATCAACATATGATTCATCAGAAAAATCCACCTTCTGCCACAATGATCAACATGAAGTCGAGTTATTATTTGTTGCTCTTACAACTGGGATCCATCACAAGACTTCTGTCAGGTAGTGCACACTAACCAACATATTATTCATTCACAAGCTGGTGCAAACAGTCAAAATTTCAAGCTGACAGATACAAAACTGGCTGAGTAGAGTATAAACAAACCTACGTATTATTATTGACAAGACATTCATTCATTCATTTTCTCGTCGGCTTAGTCCCTTTATTAATCCTGGGTCGCCACAGCGGAATGAACCGCCAACTTATCCAGCAAGTTTTTACGCAGCGAATGCCCTTCCAGCTGCAACCCATCTCTGGGAAATATTGACGTGGATGTAAGTATGTGGAATTGAAACCAATTCAAAAACTCAAAAACAGTCAAAGTTGATTACAAGTTCCCAGATGAGCCTTTGTTATTTAGCAGTTGTTATCTGGGAATAACATACTGTACCTTGGAATATTGTGACCGAGTATTCCTGACATCCGTCTACAGAATTATCTGATGACTCAACAGAACAGGCCAGTCTGTCAGAAAAGAGTATACGCTTATGTCACGTGGCCGCCATTTTAAAGAACCAAAGTGAGGCTGCGGTGGGAAGAAACCCGGAAATATAGGACCCGCACTGTAAACATTGCAGTAAGATGCTGTAGACAACAAACCTTCGGCTGATGTTGAGACTTCAAAATACAGAAATGTTAGTTGTCGTTTTTTTTTTCTGGTTACATCCATGAATATGAGAATTCTTGCAACATGACGTCCACCAGACCTAAGGAAACCTGAGGCTCATACGCTTTTGAGCTGAAGACGAGCAACAATTTCTAAAGTCCAGATACAGCACATGACAATTTGGCGAGTGAGTAATCTGCCAAACGTTCTTGCGCCTTCCACAATAACTACTGCATTAGGGACGGATGGTTCATTAATAAAATAAAATTAAAAACTCGTCACGGTTTAGTATGTGGTTTGGTTCTGCCTGTTTTTGGGAGTGTTTGGAGAGGTATCCACAATATGGATACCTCCCGGCTGCAGCGCTCTCTCTGTCAGTCAGTCTCTCTCTCATGTCTTTGTTTCCATTCCTGATGCTTAAAGCAGATTTATTATGACCCACTGCAGTCTATTCTGTCCCTTCCCAGATTAACTTTGTTCATCCTTTTATTTTTCATCAGTTTACAGCATGTCTTTCACAGTTAATATTGCTAACCCTTTACCAGGAATCACCAATCCCGGTCCTGGAGGGCCTGCAAGGTTTAGCTCCAACTTGCCTCAACACACCAGCCTGGGTGTTTCAAGTATACCTAGTAATACCTTGATTAGCTTGTTCAAGTGTGGCTGGCTGCATCCGAAACCGCCTACTACTCAGTAGGTACTGCATTTGAATTTAAACGTACTAATCGGCCGTTGGAAAAGTACGTTCTATACAGTATGAACGTGAAAAGTATGAATGGAATTCGGACGTACTACATCCGCCGTTTTGGCATAGTCATGTGACCTACCTGCGTCATTTGCGTCGCTTTACTCATGAATTCGTTCGCAGGGCATTATGGGATAGCGGAGCGTGCATGGGATGCGCACTCCAGAATCTCGCCGGAAGTAATAAGTCATCCGGGTACTTCTCGCATACTGTTTTTCGAATTCTATGAATTCGGACTTACTACTCGGCTCGCATACTGATTTTAGCGTACTACTGTATATAGTATGGAAGTGTGCAGTTTCAGACGCAGCCTCTGATTAGGGTTGGAGCTAAAACCTGCAGGACACTGGCCCTCAAGGAACAAGTTTGGTGATCCCTGCTCTAGACTAAAATAAACACAATGAAAACTTTAGAAAACACAGCCCTGAAAATAACTTAAAAACAACCGTGAACAGTACATTATAATAAGTAGATGTATTTTATGCTGATGTAGGATTTTAAGTGGGGTATACAATAGAACTGGGATTGGGCTAAAAATAGGTGGACGGAAACAAAGCTATTGACTACGGAGTTAATCCGTTGACACATTGCTATTGAGCTAAAGTAGCCGCCCGGACACTCACATTAACAATGGACTCCTTTGTCTGGGCCATATCCGAAATCACTCCATCCGTGATGATGAGGAGGATGAAGTACTGCGATCCGTCCTTTACTGAGGCGGCGTATCTGGAGAGGAAGAGAACGCATGGTTATATTCATTAATCATCTCATTACTGGAGGATACACTGGATCTGTAACATCAGTTCACTCTATTAGTAAACCTCACAATTATTCCCGTCAGCTTATGAGGTAAACAAAGCACTAATAACTGTAGAGACGCGAGCAAATCTATTGTGCGCTGGTAATCCATCTGCAGTTGTAATAAACTTATCCTCAGTATAAATGAAGCAGCTGCAGAGTTTGATTATGAAATTCATATTAATACAGACATGTTTTTTACAGCGTAACTCAACGCTAACTCATGTGAATCCTACACTCTTGTGCTTGTCATTGTATTTTCTGTGATCATTTGGGCTGTGTGGAATGCCCTTTACACTAGGTACATGAAAACAGTTCCTCTCAGGATCTTCAGTACAAAGATGACACGATTGAAATCCTACAAATGTTCATTCTAGAGCTATTTAAGCAAAGCGTTATGCATTCTTTCCTAATGGCTTTCCATTATGTAAAATTTGTAATATATATATATATATATATATATATATATATATATATATATATATATATATATATATATATATATATATATATATATATATATATATATATATATATGTATATATGTATGTATGTATATATATATATATCTCTCTCTCTCTCTCTCTTTTTTTTTTTTTTTTTTTCTTTCTTTCTGTGAGTGTGTGTGTGAGTGTGTGTGTGTGTGTGT